AACCCCTCATAAACTCCCTGAAATTCCCTCAGAAACCCCAAAATCCCCTCATAATGCACCTAAACCCCTCATAAACTCCCTGAAATTCCCTCAGAAACCCCAAAATCACCTCATAATGCACCTAAACCCCTCATAAACTCCCTGAAATTCCCTCAGAAACCCCAAAATCCCCTCATAATGCACCTAAACCCCTCATAAACTCCCCAAAATTCCTTCATAAACCCCAAAATCCCCTCATAATGCACCTAAACCCCTCATAAACTCCCCGAAATTCCCTCATAAACCCCAAAATCCCCTCATAGCCCACCCAAACCCCTCATAAACTCCCCAAAATTCCCTCATAACCCCAAAATCCCCTCATAATGCACCTAAACCCCTCATAAACTCCCTGAATTTGCCTCATAAACCCCAAAATCCCCTCATAATGCACCTAAACCCCTCATAAACTCCCTGAAATTCCCTCAGAAACCCCAAAATCCCCTCAGGACCCCCCAACCCCCCCTCACCGAGCTCCTCCTCGCTCAGCCCTTCCTCCAGCGTCTCCAGAGCCCTCCGGAAATACTCGGCGGTGTCGGGATCGAGGCGAGGCCACGATTGTCGCCGCTGTCGCGACATGCCCGGCCCGGGTGGGGACCCCGCGTGCGCCGCCATGTTGGGTGGGAGGGGAGGAAAGGGCGGGAACGGCGCCAAGTCTCGGGAAATCTCGCGAGGTTTCCTTGGCCGCGGCACGGAGCTGTCAATCAACCCGTCAGTCACGCCCACTAACCACGCCCACTATAGTTTAGCCCTCAGCTTAATGTGCTGTCAATCAGCTGAGGCCACGCCCACTTCTGCATAATTTAGTGTCAATCATCCGTTGCCCCGCCCCTTCTGCGTTTATTTTTATTCTCTGCCTGTCAATCAACCAATCAATCACTTAATCATTCGGCAATTTCCCTGTCAATCACCTTTGGCACCGCCCTTTTCACTCCATGCTTAATCCAATTAAGCAATTTGCCTAATCAATCACTCATTGCCACGCCCCTTTTCCATTGGTCGGCTCACCCCCAGCTCCATCAATCACCCATTGCCACGCCCCTTAATCAATCAATCAATCAATATTTGCCTGATCAATCGCTCTGTCACGCCCCTTAATCAATCAATCAATTAACTTTTGCCTAATCCATCACCCATTGTCACACCACTTAATCAATCAACATTTGCTTAATCAACCACCCATTTTCATGTCCCTCAATCAATCAATCAATATTTGCCTAATAAATCACTCCTTGTCACGCCCCTTAGTCAGGCAATAAATCAATATTTGCCTAATCAATCCCCCATTGCCACGCCCCATAATCAATCAATCAAATTATCAATCGACTAGTCTTCGCCAAATCAATCACCCACACGCCTGTCAATCACCCCGCCCCTCAAGCACCAGCTGTCAATCACCCAAGCCCCGCCCCTCTCCCACCACCC